TTAGCAGAATATGCCCTCAGTGGCCAGCAGCACCTTGATTTCAGAGGACTGGAAAACACCGTGTCCACATTACTTTGTTTGAAATTTTCTGATTAAAATCGTGTCCTATAACTTGTAAGAGTCAGCAATCTTTCTCATTTGAAAAAGTCTCAAATTTTAAAAATCCAATTTATCGTTAAGTGGGCATCTGTAAAAACCTCAAGAATAGTTAAAAAAGAAAAAAAATAAAGTTTTCCCAAGTGATAATTATAGTAGCTAAGGGGAAAAAATGTATTTATTCAAGTAATAAAAGCCAAGCTGGTAACATTTCAATAGAGAGTAGCCTAACATTTATATTAATGCCTATAAACCTGATCTAAGTTGTAGCTGACTTCAGAGTTGGTACCAAAACGTTAATTGTAGGGTGATTAGTGACACCCTCAAGTTAACCAAGTCACTAGCTCTAATAGGCAACTGTCTGCACTGCCTTCCACAGGACGTTCGTCCACATTCAGTACAGCCCAGTCAGCTGTCCAGACTTCCTTCTTTAACCTGGGGAATCTATGCTGTTGAGCAGGAGGCAGTGGAAGAAGGCACAGAACTAGTGTCATCTGGCAGTAGGATTTACCATGCACACACCAGAGAAAATAATAAAAATAGTCTCAAAAACAAAACACCCACAAAACTTCATCCCAATAAAAATCCAAATTAGAAAACTCCATCAGGGAGCTAAAATACTGGAAGTATAATCTAAAGTGTTATTTTTTTATGATTCAGTTGTTTCACCATGACATAGATAATAGCCTTTCTCATCTTTGGAGAAATGTAAACAGCCTGTTGTCAGACATGCCAATGGATTGGGGTATAAATGACAGTTCCTCCCCGACCCAGCTCTCTTCTGGGCGTCCCTAGAGTTCTGCTCTTTCAGGAGAATGATGCACCAAAGCATCGGTCTGGGAGGGCTGTCATCAGCACTGACAGCAGGAAGTCCCAGGAGAGCCCGCACTGGAAAAGAACAGGCTGTGCCTCAGGGTTCAAATCACTGATTGAGGGCATGTTACAGAAGTTGAAATTGTCCACCTTCATGTAAAAATGACACCACCACAGTAAAAACCCCTAGTGAATATGTCATTGGATTCCTATTCCTAATAGCTCTTTTACTTCACAAATAAGGGTGATTCTTAGAATATAAAACTGCAGGCAGAGACTGGGAAATTATTTCACTCATGATTCACACTGAAGCTTGGCAATCTGTACTCAAAAGTTATCCAAACTGCTGTGCATGCCTAAATCAATGCAGATGTGGTAAAGGTCACTTCATAAGCGTAACAATATCAAGCACACAGACCTTGTGAACAATTGAAAAGACCCAAAAAGTATCTTTTAAAGAAGCAGGGCTTTAAAAAATGCACAATGGTATATGTTCTTAGTGCTCTATAAGCACATGAATATATTGAACAATATCCTGCAGATGTGGCAAAGGGGAGGTAGGTGCCATTTACTCTATGATGCAACCCTTCACTGGAGTGGGTTATATGGGTATCTGGACACTGCATACGTAACTTTCACTTACTCTCTAATTCCTATCTGCTCCACTGCATGGGCACATTTTTCCTTATGGGACAGTGTCAGGAGGTTTCTGTCCTGGTCATCCTTAGCCATAACAGGCAGACCTTCATTACAAGATGTGCTCACGTATCACTCCTGGGGGAGCTAGTCTGTTCTTTTGTTTAAGACAGCTCTGAGTGCGTTTTATTCCTAATGGTCAATTTATCACGTTTCTCAGATACAAAAGAAAATTCACAGGAAAAAAGCACATGAAGTGTAGCATGAAGCATACAGGATTACTGAGTCATTAGAGCAATGATTTGTTATGCCAAACTGCACATGCATAATATGTAATGCCACTCACTGTGCTTGGACTACACTACTCCCCACTTGGCTGCAGCAGGCATCTTCATTTCCCTCCATGATGGTCTCAGACTTACAGAGATTCTTTGTATTACACATTACAATCCCTGTACAACCTGATTGATACCTGCACAGGGGCCATTTGTTCCTTTTGTGATCACCCCAACCTTCTAGAGAGCAATATAGACGTTTCAGAAGGTGATTTGTTTTTCATGATGATGCACTATATTGGACATAGGATGGGAATACTTGATATAGCAACGGTTACAGATCCCTAAGATCAACATCTACCTAAAGCACACACTTCGAAGATAACTAGTGACCCAAACACATCCTGGACTGAGCATTGCAGGGCACTGTGTCAGACAGTTCTTACATGAGTCAAAGCAAGGACCGTGAAGCCACGCTTGACGAAGCTTCACAGAGCCCACAGAAGGATTCCAACAGCATAAAAACACCCAAGATAACAGTACATCATCATCCACGTGTTGTAGGCAAAGAGCTTACCTGTGAGAACACGTCCCAGGTTCAGCGGTCACTGCAGCTGCACTGCAACTGGAATGGTGGTTACTGCACAACTGTGTAGTGACTGAAATTTCCCCACACCGCACTGTTGACCCGTTCTATGAAGCTGAGAGTGTCCTGATTAAAGTGCCCCTTTATGTACAGTAATGAAGTGTCAAGCAGTTCTAACTTCAGCCAACCGGGGAAAAGCAAAAGCCCTACTGAGACACCAAACGTCGTGGCTGTCTTCTCAAACTGAGAAACAGCACATTATACGTGTACTCCTCAGGACATAGTAACATGCACAGGTAGCCGCACATGGAGACTTACAATATACCTTCTAAACTAGTCATCAGAAGTTGTTTTGGTCCAATCCACATGACAGATAATAGAAATCGCAAGGGAAAGGACACATCCCCTTCCACGCCTCTTGTGCCCAAAATACACAAAACCCACTTTCAGATTATGAAAGGGAATAAATAGAATCACTCCCAGCTATATATACGCATATATATACACACACTTATATATACACAATGTAGAGGTATGTACACACACACGCACACAGCTGGACACTACCTGAATAACATACCAGAAGGCTCCGACACCTGAATTCCTAGATGACCAGGCGAGCTGATTGTAGAACTGATTACAGAAACCATGACAGTAAAGACCTGCTGTAGCTACCAGTCTCTGGAGAGCTTGGTGTTCTGGTCTCTCTTAGGGGGCGCGGGAGGGGGTCCCCTCCGCAAGGTTGCATAGCCTGAAATGTGGCTGCCTCCGTAGCCAGCTTTCCGCTGATCAGAAAGCAGTTCGGGGGGAGGCGGGGGCAATGCCATGTCGTCCATGGTGGCCGTGGGTTCTGCTCTGGACGCGCGGGAGGAGGAGAGCGAGCCGTGCCGCGTGATGGACTTGCGCTGCAGTGTCCGGTTGAGGTCGGCCAGGAACCCGGGCTGGACCCCGAGGCCGGCTTTGGGCGAGCTGGG